AGCAATACAACTATTGTTACATCTATTGTTACCTTGTCACATCATTTGTTATTCTAATATTACAACCGGTAACGTTTTTACCGTCATTGGTGCTTTCATTGAGAGCCTGAGTCCAATACTCAAGCAGGTTACAACACTACTCTTTTTCTCTTTCAGCAGCAAGCCTGAAAGAATGGCGTCCCGCAGCTCCCACGGTTCTCGCAACGTGAACAATGGCAATGCCTCAGGTGACCTCCGGGACCAACTCACCAACAATCGCGGAGGGGACCTCCGAGAACAGCTCAACAACGGGAGGCCCGGGGACCTTCGAGACCAACTCAACAATGGAGGGGTAAACCAAGCCGTGAACGGGAGGCCCGGGGACCTTCAAGACCAACTCAACAATGGGGGGGGGGGGGGGGGTGAACCAAGCCGTGAACCTCCAGACGACCGCCGATATCATTCAGCAAGCAGTGACGGCGGCGCTAAATCAGGTGGCGGTGGGACTGCAAGGCCAAGTGCCCACGCCGCGGCCCCAGCAAATAGGGGTAGAGGCCCAAAGAAGTGGACCGGCCAGACGACAACCAGGCCCTTCCCAATCTGCGCCAGAACGATTGGGACAGAGGGCGCCCGTGCGGCAAAGATTAGGATCACGGGCCGAGGGGTCCTCTACCAGAGGCCCTCGCCAACACGAGAACAAACAAGCCGAGAGATCACCCACAGAGGAGGTGGGCGAGTCTCGGGAGCCGACCCCACGCCGACACGTTGATGAGTCGGCCCTACGTCGACACTTGGAGGAGCGACGCGTTGATGAGCCGGCTCTGCGTCGGCACTCGGCGGAGAAGCGACGCGCTGATGAGCGGGTCTCACACCGACACTTGAATGGACGGAACGTCGAGGAACCCGCTCCGCGTCGACACTCAGATAGACAGCACGTCGATGAACTAGCTCCACGCCGACACATGGAGGAGCGGCAGCCGGCCCCGCGTCGGCACCCTGACGAGTCGGCCCTGGTCGAGAGGCTGCAGAGAAGAATCGAGGAGTTAGCAAGAAGGGTGGAGGCACGGGAGCAGTCGCCGGAACTTGAGGCACGGATGGCAGCACCATTCTCCCCTAGCATCATGGACGTACCTTTGCCGAAGGACTTTAGGTTGCCCGCCATCAAGGAGTACACGGGGGCCACTGACCCACGTGTCCACATGACGAGGTACAAGGCTGCTATGGTAATGATCGGGGCAGGGGACGCCATCATGTGCCGAGCGTTCTTGTCCACACTGGATGGAGCGGCCCAAGACTGGTTTAACACCATCCCAGATGGGTCGATCCAAAACTTTGGGGAGTTGTCCAAGAGCTTCCTAACATACTTCTCCGGTAGCATACATCGCAAGAAACCCTTCTCTCACCTCTGTGTAGTGAAGCAAGATAGAGGCGAGAGCCTCAAAGACTTCCTGATCAAATGGAAAAAGGAAGTCAATAATGTCTACGACTTCGACTCCAAGGCGGCGATCCCGATATTTATCCATGCCTTAAGATCAGGGTATTTCCACAAGCAGTTGAACGCTCACCACCCCCGCTCTTACGAAGATCTGATGAGGACGGCTAGCCGCTATGCCGAAGCAGAGGACGTCGACAGGAAGAAGAAGGACGAAGAGGATGGTAGGAAAGATGGGAAGCCTGGGAAAGCTGGTCCGCCCGGCCAGGCACCACTCTCGAACCACCCGACCGCAGGGAAAGGCCGAGACCACGAACGGCCTCGCCTGGTCCCCTTGCGTAATTTGACTCCTCTTACCCATCCCGTCAGTGTCATTCTAAAGCAAGCTGAGGAGATGGGAATGGTAGAATTCCCCGAGGAGTGCATGAAGGTCTCCCCAAAGGCAGACCAAACAAAGTACTGCAGGTTTCATAGGCATGCCGGACACGACACGGATGAGTGTCACGTTTTGAAGAGACAAATAGAAGACCTCATCCAGCAGGGCTACTTCCGACATTTCGTCAAGCGATCCAAGCAGCAGCAACAGCCGCAACACAATCCACCAAAAAATGTCTGGAGGAATGAGGATGGCACCGAGCCGTCCACCTCAAACGCCAAAAAAAGAGACCACGACCAAATATCTGAGCAGAGTGATAGCGAGAAAGAAACCGAGGTGACGCCCAGACGACAAAAGAAGCACACCATACACTTTATCTATGGTGGACCTGCAGGGGGCGACACGCCCGCGGAAAGAAAGAAGTGGAGCCGGCAGCTATACGTGGGAGAAGTGGCGAGTCTTCCCAGAGAAAAGAAACAGAGACAGGAGGCCATCACCTTCTCTGATGATGACCTCCCAGAGGGCCCGTTACCCCATCGTGACGCCCTGGTAATTGAGATGGACGTCAATGATGTCATTATCCGCCGCATCTTAGTCGACACGGGAAGCTCAGTCAATGTGATGTATTACGATGCCTTCACCAAGTTAGGGATACTTAGGAACCAGCTCAAAGAAGTACGTACCCCACTCTCTGGATTTACGGGTGATTCAGTGGAGACGGAGGGGTCAGTGGTCTTACCAGTGGAGATAGGCACGAGCCCTAACATTCGCAAACTTGACTTGGAATTCATCGTGGTAAAACTCACTTGCGCGCACAACATCATATTGGGGAGACCAGCACTGGAGAACCTCAAGGCCATAGTGTCGGTGGAACACTTGTGTATGAAGTTCCCCACTCTGAGCGGGATAGGGGTCGTCAGAGGAGACCAGCGAGCGGCCCGAAGTTGCTACGTTAAAGCATGCAAAAAGATTGGCAGAAATGATCTATAAGTCCACACCATCTGTAAGGATGATCGATCGGGTATGGAGCTAGGAACATTTGATTAAGTATTTTCCATAATATTCTAGTAGTCGTTTGGAACTGGTGTTTGGAAATCGCGGTCCGCCCGCTTTGCATTCTGAAATCTTTTGGAAAAATATCTCGTGCTTGCGGTCCGCCCATGTTGTTTCAAAAAAATAAAAATAAAAAAATAAAAAAAAAAATAAAAAAAATTGGCTGAGGGTGCGCCTCAGCCAAGGCCGAGGCTTGGCCGAGGCACAAGCCTCGGCCACAGGCCGAGACCGCGCCTCGGCCCCGGAAAAAAAAAAAAAAAAAAAAAAAACGATCGGACGAGGCTACGCCTAGGCCGCGATCAGCCGAAGCGCACGCCTTGGCCACGATCGGTCGAGGCCTCGGCCGCGATCAGCCGAAGCGCACGCCTTGGCCACGATCGGTCGAGGCCACGCCTCGGCCACGATCGGTCGAGGCGACGCCTCGGCCACGATCGTTCGAGGCGACGCCTCGGTCACGATCGGTCGAGGCGACGCCTCGGCCACGATCGGTCGAGGCGACGCCTCGGCCACGATAGGTCGAGGCGACGCCTCGGCCACGGTCGGTCGAGGCGACGCCTCGGCCACGATAGGTCGAGGCGACGCCTCGGCCATGGTCAGCCGAGGCGCACGCCTCGGCCACGGTCGGTCGAGGCGACGCCTCGGCCACGATCGGTCGAGGCGACGCCTCGGCCACGATCGGTCGAGGCGACGCTTCGGCCACGATCGGTCGAGGCGACGCCTCGGCCACGGTCGGCCACGGTCAGCCGAGGCGCACGCCTCGGCCACGATTGGTCGAGGCGCACACCTCGGCCACGATCAGTCGAGGCGACGCCTCGGCCACGCTCGGTTGAGGCGATGCCTCGGCACGCACCTCGGCCAGCCTAAGCCGCAGCCCGTCTCGGCCAGCATAAAAAAAAAAAAAAAAATTCATGTGTGATTTGGAAAATAAAATCACATACTCGGGATCAATCGGGATTCTCCACGATATCAAGCAAATTCAGCTTTACTCCCAAGTCAACTCAAACACATCCGTTGCCTCAAGAGTAGGGGGGACTGGTGACAGGATAATAGGCCTGGCACCCGACCCGGATCACAAATGGGCATTGACTCAGCATGTGGGCATTGACTCAGCATCACATGGGAACCCAACGGGCATAACTCCAACGGTCAGGAATTCCAACAGGTGCCGTTGTTACTACCATTGAAGCCAGCATTGAAGCCCCCATTGATGAGAGAGAATTAAAGGCCAGGCTCCCACTTATGTCCCATGTTGTTACCGTTAGGACCTAGCATAAATAGAACTTCCCTCAGCTGAGCAGGACACACTGTACTTTCTATACTGAGACAAAAGCAATACAACTATTGTTACATCTATTGTTACCTTGTCACATCATTTGTTATTCTAATATTACAACCGGTAACGTTTTTACCGTCAATATACAAGGGTTATTTTAATTTCGAGGAGAACTTGTCCAAACTTGAACTTGAGTTGTGAGACTTGATGGATCATATAGTGAATGTGTTGGATGGGAGGAGGTTTGGAGAGACAAATTCAACATCTCGTCCATAAAAAAGTGATAATATTTACTACACAAATATAAATAAATAAAGTTATATTGAGGGTCGAATTGATTGGACTGGTAACTAGCTAGGTAACCACAAATTTTTAAATTTAACTCTGATCCCTACATGCAATAATTGATCAACTATGGACAATCAAGGGTACGCCTTTGCTACTAGCTACCTACAGAATGCATGCAACAACATATTAACTTCTTCAAATAAGCTGTAACATTCAAAGCCAGCTAGCCATCACAAACTAATTAACAACAAAGTTTCCAAGGTGACACAACACATTTTATATATCTTGATAGACACATTCTAGAATCAGTAGTCAATGGGAATCATTGCTAACTAGACTTAGTTATACATTTCACCATTAAAAACAAAAAAGATTCAACTCGATCAACCAATGATAAAATGGAAGGAAATTTGGCAAGAAGATGAAGACATTTGAAATTATTGAAGGGATGATAAACATGCATATATAGTCCAGCAATTTTATTAGGGTTTGTTTAATATTATCCATAAGTAACATAACTCATTAGAAACATTCACCCCTCCACTTTTAATCGGCGCTTACCCACAATCTGTCACCCAGGAACAAACCTGAGGCACTTCTGATCAGCTCTAATACATACTAAACACGTACAGGAAAAATTTACAGTGCCCACTAAGTAATAATTAATGTACAAATGAACATATATAATGGCAATTAATTAAGGTTACTATTGCGGCGGCGTCCCGGAGTAGCTGATGAGCTCCTCGCCGTCAAACAGCGCGGCGGAGTGCGGTTGCGCCGCCGGCAAACCATTGGCGGGTTGAACAGCAGTAGTTGTGTAAGTTGACAATGGAGGAGCAAATGCTAAGCTGCAATAGCTCATCATCTCGCTCCAGTCCATCATGGCTCCGCCGCTACTGCTTCCGAGTCTCCCATTGTTGTTTAACATGTTGTCGTACAAGAATTCCAGGCCGTCCATTTTCTGCGGGATGTTGGTGTTGTCGGTGTAAGGGATTTGCTCCGGGAAACAGTTCTCACCTGGCAAGCTCCGAAGTTCCGCTTCCATGTTGTATTCATTGATTGAGAATGGGGAGTTTAAGGTGGTGTCGGTTGTCGGAGCAGACGAGAGTTGATAGAGCGGCGGCGGGGGCGGCGGAACGAGCACAGGCGACGGATTTTCCATGGGGTACGCTGCGAGGTTTTTATGCTTAAGATCGTCGTCGTTGTCGTCCCTGAATTTCCCGCCAAGCTTGATTAACAGGTTTCTAATGGAGTGATGGTCGTTGAAACCGGGTTCGTTGTCGGCTGCGGGGTACCGAATCGGGTCCAGAACCGGCAGCTCCGGCCAGGGAGGAGAGTTGTTAGTGTTGCCGAGAGGAGCCATCATCATCATCATAGGGTTTTCTCTCGCGGCGGCGGCGACGGCGGCTTTTCTCATTTCGGCCTGCTTTTGCCGGGCTACGTTACCGTTACCGGCCTTGAGGCCGTGCTCTCTCCGCTGCTTGCCGAAAAGCTTCTTCTTCAACCTTGTGTTCCAGTAATTCTTTATATCGTTATCAGTTCTTCCCGGGAGCTGCGCCGCGATTATAGACCACCTGAATCCACCGCCCGCCGGAAAATCAGTTTCCGTAACAATCATATAATTTTTTTTAAAAAAAAGAAAAAAAGATGGGATTATTACCTGCTCCCAATGCTTATAAAGAGGCTGCATATGATGTTATCTTCTTCCTCTGAAAACCCTCCGTGCTTAATGTTCGGCCGGAGATAGTTCAGCCATCGGAGACGACAACTCTTCCCGCATCTCTTAAGCCCTTCACGTACACACACAAAATTATTCCAAGAAACATACAATAAAAAATAAGAAAACAAAAACCAGAAAGTTGATCAGCTCTTGACTTAGTAATCACAAAGTTACAAGTTTGATTCCCTATAAACCTTCCTGCAAGCCAGCTTCCTCGTAACTCAAAAAAGACAAAAACTAAAACGAAAAGAGTTGGATCAAGTTCTTGACGATGATTGAGTAGGTATGTACCAATTTTCTGAGGCAAAGCAATCCAATTACCACCGGTTCCATGCTCTTCAATATAAGCCTTCAACTTGGCATCTTCTTCCGGCGACCATGGCCCTTTCTTCACGTTATTTTTGTCACAGCAGGGTGCTCTACCCATTATTCTTCAATTCTTCCTTTTGCCAGCTGCCTTAGCTTATTCTCTCCTCTCTTCTTTCTTTCCTGAGATAATAAGAAGTTGCAGAGAGAGAGAGAGAGAAAGGGTAAAGGTGTTTAGGAGTGGCGCTATATGATTCAGAAAAGGAGGTATGGACAGAAGAAGATGATGAATGTAATGGCTAGTTCATAAAATATAATTGATATATGATAGGAGCGGAAGGGAGGGTTTTCTTCTTCTTGTCATATTTCTCAGCACAGAATCATTAAATATAAACATTAGTACTTTGAAATGTGTGGAAATATATGCTTGATTAATTCATTAATTTTTAATTAACCGTCCGTTGAAAAAGATTGAAACTTGATTTTCCAAGTCATTAATTGTACTATATTTAATGACTTACGTCATTAATAAATTAATAAATAAATACATATACATATATATATATATATATATATATATATATATATATATATATATATATATATATATATAACTAAAACTACTCATATATTACTTTCAAGTAGACAAGCTAAGTGTATCTCAACTGGTTAACCAATTTATCCTTATCATTAGAAAATTTACAATTATATTTTTGTAAAATCATCAAAGTTAATTTAAGAGTAAGGATTTGACATCAACTTAAGTATCACTTTACAATATATTGTAAAATTGACGTGAGATAATATTAAGTCCCGACTACTTTAGGTGGTCAAAAAATACAAAATGTCCAACTGTAAAGCTCTAGTGTCTAGCATTTTATAATGGAATAGTGAGGGAGTATACATCATATCAAACATCTGGTATTTTCAAAAAAAATAAAAAAATTGATCATCCCGTATTATGATTGCGGGATCCAATTCTATTAAAATTCAACACGTATATGTATGGAGCAAAAATATATATTTATGCTCGATTGAACGTAACCTATCACACATAATCATATAGTGCGATTTATCTCTCATCATGTGTTGTATTTAATTTGTTTTTCATGCTAGACCTTGCGGGGTGGGGGAGATTTTAAGACTTTATATTTCATGATTGAGTAATCATTTGATCATCATTAGGTCATGGGAGATTAGACTAATAATTAAAGATCCAATTCAACAAGATAGAACTTATCCATTGCACTAGAAGAAGGTTAGAGGAAAATGTTATTTGGAAGTTGTAAACACAACAAAGTCAAGATAATTTCGATCTTTTCTTCAATTCCAAAGATTTAATTTTAAAAATGAAAAGCCTTGCTAGCCAAGAAAGATTCTAGAAGAAGTAAGAAGGACATGATCGTCGTTGGTGGATAAATAAGAACATCATCATCGATCGTAAATACAAGGTAAATTTCCGTTTTGTTAGGTCACCAAATAACCTAAAGCAAATCTCAATGGCGTACAGAAAGGTTCTGGCTGGGTACCCTTTGGCTTCGTCAACTTGTCAAGTACTGCATGTGTTGACTGTTTTTCTGTTTGAATCCGTCATTCCTCAATTCAAACTAGTGGTTAAAGCTTTTGAAAATGTCTTGACAAACAACAACACATTCACTAATTATCCTCCTATATTTGGTAACTATATTTATGGAGATTAACTAATCACCCTCTAACTCCTAACATTTTCAAACCGATTTTTTTTTTTTTAAAGGTCTTAATTGCATGTTTCCTCAATTAATGATCACAAGGTTCCAAATTTGACAGGATGTTGGATTCGACCCTTCAAGAGTGTATGTGCCCAATATTTCTTTCCTAGCACCTACATACCAACCTCAACTACACAACACATTGCGCTTTCAATTGAATTCAAACTTGTGATCTACTTTGCTACGTACCAATTCTCAGCGAGCATAACAGTAAACTCTTGATCCTGAGAATCGGAGAGGGTCACAAGGTGGACTTCAATCAGTGCGCATTTACGAGTAATATCTGCAAATTAAATTTCCCTATAAATCAAAATGACTAATTATATACGCATGTTTGTACTGAGTGGGAAAGAGTTGAGACTTCTGGTACGGTTAATGTGGAAGTGGCTTGAGCTAGTCATCTTATTTACATTGCACAGGTGAAGTTAAATTAAAGTTATAAGGTTGAATTACAAAAAAAAAAAAAAAAAAAAAAAAAAAAAGTTTAATTTATATACATACACATATTCATTCATAAAAGTCAATTGTCAAAAAACAGTTTAAATTTAATCCTAATTTTTGAAAGATTGTGGAGCTATATTATGAATGTCAAACACTGTAAGAGGCTTAGAAAAAGAGAGGGTTGAAGATGCTAAGGTTGTTTCTTTGGAAGAAGCTAAAGATTATGGAGATAAAAATGAAATGAATAAGCCATATATGTCCTACAAGGATGGTCAAATTAATGAATACAGTGCACTTAACCATTGCAACATATCCAACTATCACATCATTGGCCTCATTTTATTGACCTTATATAATCCTCCTCCTCCTCATTCTTCTTCTTCTTCTTTTTCTTCCTCTTTTTTTTTTTAAAAAAAAAATATTATTTCATTCATATATATATATATATATATATATATATATATATATATATATATATATATATATATATATAGGGAGTGGATCAGGTGCAAATATATCTTCCCGTGCGGTTGTACGGTTAACACAAAAAAACACACCTTAAGAACACAAACTACGCACCTAAAATTTTAAAATTGCACACTTTTAAGTACACAAACCACTTTAAATTTGACCTAGATACAAAAATATCAAATTACCACTGCGCGTTTTTTTAATCACCATTAATCCTGGACGTTGATTTAGGCAAGATCAATGACTCATATTTAATCGCACAACCGCACTTGAGGTAACCAACCGCACGGGAACCATTTATATATATATATATATATATATATATATATATATATATATCAAATATGCCCCTAAAACAAACAAATAACACAATTGAATTTTTAATGGTAAGTTTTACTAAACCCCTCGAACAAGTAAAAAAAGTGTAAACTGAGTCAAACTTTTACCAATTCAGTTTGTAATAATAGCTTTAGCAATTTTATTTTCTTATACTCAGTTAATCTCAACTACTCAACATGTTATTAATATGCTAAAAACTATAACTAATAGTAAATGTGAAATTTTATTTTTTTTTATTCTTGCAGACTAGATGGCAAAATATCTATTAGATTCAACCCTCTAAATTTCACCCAAGACACTTATGTGAATCACATATATATAAATTATACTCCGTAAATGAATTATTTAAAAAAAAAATACATCAACAAAATTTCTAGTTGGACAATTGGTGAATGTCTTCTCCATTGGACAATCGTAATTGTTTAGAAAAACTAGGAAATAAGCATGATTATCTTACTGATTGTACAAAATATTCCGTATAATTGAGTTAAATTTGACTGTTAAAATGCGTGTATCAACACGGTAAAAACTCTGTATATGTAATATGTATATATAGCAGATTAGCAGACATGACCGACCTGAGTTGTATGTCGAATTTATTATATGCAAAGCATATAATTGCGTGACAGATGTGCTGCCTTAGCTTTCACTCTTTAATTTATTTAGAGAGCAGCGATCTGACAATCCCTCTCACCTCATTCTTTTTGCAATTTTTATTTCATTGTTTCATAACATTTTGTGCTTGTCTGATTTAATTCGTACAATTCACAAACCATATAATTAATCCAACCATACGTTTTATATGACTGTTTGTGATTTAAGTGAATATAAGATGTTTTCTTGTATGTATAGCAGTGTCTGCTAGCACATAGAAAACATTCAATCCAAAACTATAAAATAATGGACGGAATTAGAATTAAGATATTATAAAATCCCACAAATCCATATATATTTGTCGATCTTATTTCAAGAATTTAATAACTATTTTAATTTTAACTTAAACTTAAACTTTACTATGAAGTCACTGTATATGTTTTAGTGACAATGAAAATCTGTAACTATTACTTGATAATTGTAACCTTTTGGTACAAGAATCATCTTCTCTATTATTTAACAAAATTTGAGTCTAAATTTTTTTTTTTTAAGGAGAATCAAAACTCTGATCTTTCTAGTCCAACCACATAATGCTTATTGAATTGGTATCTTTCATGATAAATCAAACAATTTCCTATAGATTAACAGTGAAATGAGATCCATTTGATTGACATTTACATATATCAAATAAAGTTCAAGTGAATTGAAGAAACAAACAAAATGGGAGCACAAACGTTACGTTTTCGAGACGTGTGAGAATTGACAGGCCAGGCAAGGTTATTAAATGAGACACCAATTAAAGAACATCTAAGTAGTCATATATTGTTGCTTATTTGCTTAATTATCTATTTCTGTGGACCACTTACGTTGAAAAAACACCATCAATTTTACCAACTTAATTTTCCACACACCTAAAACACGTGCAACACCAATTTTTTTTTATTTATTTATAGAAAAATTTGAAGAAAATATCATTTTTAGTCCCTCAATTATAATACATGTATTAATTTTAGTCATTGACTATTAAAATTTTTAAATTACGTGCATGACTATTCAATTTGTATCATATTTGGTCCATGACTATTAACATTTTCAAAATAGGTGCATGACTATTCAATTTCTATCATATTTGGTCCTGCCATTAAATTTTTCGGCCAAATTTTCAACCAAGTCACTGGTAAACTGCTAATTTATTTAATTTTTATTTTAAAAATTATTTAAATAATTTTTAAATTAAAAACCTTAAAAATAACAAAAATAAAAAATAAAAGAGAGGGGTGGAGTGGCCGGCGTTCTCTTTCCACCATTCCTCTTTCGTCTCCGCCGGAGACGAAAGAGGAAGAGGGGGGGGGGGGGTGGATGGGGGGGAAAGAGAACGTCGGCCACCCCCTCTTCCTTCGTCTCCGACGGAGACAAAGGAGTAAGGTGGGTTGCGTCCAGCATTTTTTTTAAGTTTTTATTTTATTTTAAAAAATATTAAAATAATTTTTAAAATAACAATTAAATAAATTAGCCGGTCACTTGTGACTTGACCGAAAATTTGTTCGGAAAATTTAACGGCAGGACTAAATGTGATACAAATTGAATAGTTATGCACCTGATTTGAAAATGTTAATAGTCAATTCAATGACCAAATGTGATACAAATTGAATAGTCATGTACCTAATTTGAAATTTTTAATAGTCAATGACTAAAATTGATACATGTATTATAGTTGGGGGACTAAAAATGGTATTTTCTTAAAAATTTGTAACCACTACAT